TTTTTTTTTTTCATGCATATGGTAAAATTTATGTCTAATGATTTCTTGGTATGGAGACCGTACTAATGGATTATTACTGTCCATTTTGATGCTGCAGTTTCTTTGTTCTATTTTCTGTTGAGAAACTTAACAACGTTTACCTTATGCTTTTGTTGTAGGTATTCCCTTCAATTTTTTTTGTGAAGGCAAACAATGCTGAATCCAATGAGCGTATTAGATTCCAGTCGCTTGCTTCTGCTGACCTTTCTGCATGTTTGAAAAAGAAGCAAATGAAGGTTTTGATCCCTCAGATAATACAAATGATGTTTTTTGGAGTTTTATTCATTATAGGTGCCTGCTCACTGTTGGTTTCAAGAGGCTCGTTCGATGGTTCCGCTACAGTTTCTTTCTTGACATCGCTGATTCTTTTGATTGGTCCAATTCAGGTAAATTTTTTGTATTTTGTTTACTCTATCAGTAACTAGTTACTTCTCTGTGTGACGACTTTCTGAAAATATTAATAGCGGCCTATTTCTGATGCAAAACTATTCAGACTTTTGCTCAGCAATTGAAATTCTCTTGTTGTTGCTCCTTTTAACCATTTGGTTCCATGGAGAACGGTAGTTCAGGGAATTTTATTTTTAGCAAATTTACATATGAAAGATCAATCACAAAAATTCCTATCAGAACCCATGAAGTTTGGTTCGTTTTGGTTGTGTTCCCTTGACAACCTTTTTACGAGATGTCTAGTTCACATTGGTCTGATGGAATTTCATGCGCTGACGTGTTCATTAGAGTTTATTACTGCATAATCTTATTGTTCTTTTGTATTTTTATTCCTTTAAACACCTCTTTTGAGTTGGATTTGCTAATATTATGACATTCATTTTTACCATATCATTTGAGGTACAGTTTATCATATATATTCTGTATCGATAACTGCAGTTCTATTTTGTCCCCATGATTCAAGGGCTGTTCTTTTATGTTCTTTCCTTCTTCCTTTTTTAGCCCCCCTGTTTTATACATATATTACTTAAACTTCTGCGAGGTTGTAGCATTTTTTTATGTTCAGCTGATTGGTATGAGCAAATACACTAACACACAATGTTGCATCAATCTTTAAACGTTGTTAGAATGGTTCAGAGTCGAAACGCTCTACTATTTGCCTCATAATTTATTCAAAAGGTAAAAGTAGAAGTAATAATTTACTTATTTAATTTAGCATTTTGATTGTCTGGGATGATTTCGCTATCCGTCTTTCTAATGCCATGTTTATCTGAAAATAAAGAATTATGCAGGGTGTGGGAAAAGCATACAACGAGCTAAAACAAGGAGAACCAGCTATAGAGCGGTTGTTTAATTTGACCTTGTTCAACTCTCAGGTTGATTTTTGTGATGCTACACTCTTTCTTTTTTATCATTTCTAAGATTACTATAGATTATATGAACACCTCTTTGCAAAAGACTGATTTAATACATATGAAGCATTCAAACCAGATGATTGAGAAACAAGATGCAGTTGATTTAAATGCTGTTGCTGGTGAAGTGAAATTTTGTGACCTCTCGTTTTCATATCGAGAGGCTTTGGCGCCTGTGTTGAATGGCCTCGATCTTCATATCAAAGCTGGTGAGACAATTGCTCTCGTTGGCCCATCGGGTGGCGGCAAAACGACCCTTGTGAAACTCCTGCTTCGTTTATATGAACCTCTTTCCGGTGGGTAGTTGAAATAATTCTTATTGATAGGATAGGACCACATATTTCCCCTCTTTTATAGTTTTGTGACTGAAGTTTTATGAGGACTTCATTTGCAGGTTCGATAGTGATAGATGGCCATGATATTCAAAATATTCGATTAGAGAGCTTAAGGAGACATGTTGGTCTGGTCTCTCAGGATTCCGTATGTTTGTAGTATCTTTAGTATCATTACATTAAGACTCGAATGCAAATTTTTTACAACCCTGCCTGATGATGCATAAATTATCATTAATATAAATGTTCATGGCTGTTACTCACTGAAGCAGATACTGATTTTATTTTATTTTTTATTTTTTTTGTTCCCCGTCAGGTACTTTTTTCAGGAACCATAGCCGAGAACATTGGGTACAGGGATTTAATAAGCGGCATTGATATGGACAGAGTAGAAATAGCTGCTAAAACTGCAAATGCTGATGAGTTCATAAAATGTCTTCCCGATCAGTATGATACCAATGTCGGACCCAGGGGCTCGAATTTCAGTGGCGGCCAAAGGCAAAGGTGAAAATAATTTGTGTGGACTTGCTCAGTTACTTTTTTAACGCTCGGATTTTAGTACATGTTCAGGTACTTCATATTTTTTTTTTTTTTTTGGGTATTTAAAATGCAGGCTAGCAATTGCGAGAGCACTCTATCAGAATCCCTCTATTCTTATTTTAGATGAAGCAACTTCTGCATTAGACAGCTGATCTGAGCTACTGGTCAGACAAGCTCTTCAACGCCTAATGCAAAACCGCACGGTAGAACTCAAGTTAATATATGTATCTTGCAACACGTTTTTGTGCTAAAAATTTAAGTAGTTTAAGCCTCTTGTATTGGGTCTAGTTAGTTCACATCTGATAAGTATCTCGATTTCTTGAATTTCTATTTTGGCGCTTAAACCTGACTGTTCTCAGGTGTTGGTCATTGCACATCGGCTGGAAACTGTGCTTATGGCTGAAAGAATATTCTTATTAAACGACGGGAAGCTGCAGCAACTGAGTCATTCTGCTCTGAGGGATGGGTCATTCTGCTCACTTGCGACTGCATGTGTAATTTAGTACTCTGGACATTATGTGTCTCTTTTAAGTTGTTCATAATGCCACAATTAGTTCGATCATAGGTTATACTCGAGGGTCGTGAGCCGCTCGACTCGTTTGCAGCCCTATATGTAATAACATTGGAGTGATGTTTATCAAAGCCAAATGTGAATTTGGATATATATTTAAACTCATTTATTCATCCATCAAAAATATTTATTATTTATTAACTTCACTTTTTTAAAAAAAAAAATATATATATATTCAACTCACATCTTCTAATGTATTTTTTAAGTAAACATTAATAATTACTGTACACTTAATTATAAAATCTATTATTATGTATTTGTAAATACATCAAATATTATTTCACTATTTCTCTGTTATATCAAAATTATTAATTGTTATTTTACTATATCAATAAAATAAATCATATCAAAATATATTCAATCGAATCGCTTAATAAGTGACGAAAAATAAAGCGGGAACTTTTGCCGCCAATCGCAGCTCTCAACTCTGCTCCTTTGATTTTTTTCATCATTCAAATATATAAAAGGGGAACACACCCGTAAACCCTAATCGTCTTCTTCGTTTTCCCGGCGCTTCATTTTCGCTGATCGATAAAACTAATCGTACAGTTTCTCAACACACAAAAAGATCATGGACACTTCAAATCCGGCGGTTTTCGTGAACGCGGAGCTGCTCCGGCTGTACGTTGGCCGGAGGGTCCGCGCCGTGATTCAGGTGCTCAGATCGGACGGCGGTGGGTCCGTCGTTGGGAAATCGACGGATGAGCAGCAGATGGTCATCAAGGGCCGTCCCCCAGCCCCCCTTTCAACCTTCGTCGAGGTCATTGGCATCGCCGATAGCAACCAATCCATCCAGGCCGAGATTTGGACCAATTTCGGCGATAATTTTGGTATTTGAGCATCTCTTGACTTCTGATCAAGCTTTCAGCTTAGCTTTGTTCATACTGATATTTTCCGGGTCCTTTTTCTTTCTTTTGTGGGCTGGCTGTGTGCGATTTATTTGTTGTCTGCGTCTTCATTGTTTGAAATTGGGTTATACCTAGTGGCTTCTATTGTTAGTTTGGTGGTTCGATCGAGTTTCTTATTGGTGCTTGAGTTGATTTTCCAGATACAACATCTGTTTAGGAGGCTAGGAGCTTTAGGTTCCGATACGAAAACGAACAATTTTCAGGTTTATCATTAGTTACTAAAGTGAAACTAGAAAATCTGATTCTCATCTCTGATTGATGCATCATTCACATTGTGTATACTCAGGTACACGATAAACCTTGGTATTGTGCTTTGAACGTTTTTATGTTTACCTTAGTAGTTTCATGTAGCCCTATTTTATTAGCCCTATTTAATTATATTTTGTTGTCTGGTTTATTAATAGTACCATTAGGCTGTTTAATGATTAAAAATTATACATCCCTCCCTCTATATTAATTCAAAACGTGTTGGACCTAAATGGCAGATTTTCATGTTTTGGGTGTTGACATGTCGAAAATCTATGTTTTGTGATGTTTTTATATTATTTTTGCTCTGAGTTAGGTTTGGTATTAGATATAAATTTTTATTATATATTTCTTAACTTAACACCTCTGTTGTACACGGGTATTGTAGTAGTTTTTTTTTTTTTAAACAAGGACGCATTTTCAAAGGACAAAATGTCTTATTATTTTTTATAAAATATGCTATTTTATTTTGAAAAATTTGTAAATTTATTGGAATAGTATGATTGGTTGATTCTGACATGAGTTGCCAAATACTACTTTATGTTAACCACGCTTCTGTTCATTTCAAAATCACAGTATATGATATTATGTTTTAAAAGGAAACTTGTAGTTACTCCATATTTTAATATGGTTTGCAAGTTAATTCAATCTTGTTGTACTTGTTTCTGCAGATACAGCAAGCTACAACAGTGTCTGTCAACTTGCAAATGGGGAATTCAAGCACTTGTTCATCTAAAGCAGCAGTTTTCGGCACATCAAAAATCAATCACAAATCAAAGCTTGCGTGGATCGTCTTGTGTGATGTCTCGTGGGTAGTGTTTTGGCAAAGCTCGTAATGTTTATATTTCACGTTCTTGCTTGCATGAAGAATGTTCATGGGGTTCTGTCTGAGTATCTGAGGATTATGAATACTAATGGGAAGCTTTTCTGGGATTTTGTTTCTGAATATTTGAGGATTATGAATACGTTTAGGAAGATTACTGACTATCAGGCACACCCACAATTCAATCCAAGATTAATAATTGAAGACTGAAATCAGTTAGAAGTAGAGCATTTTTCGAGCCCAATCGATAAATCTCTTGCAGACTGGATTCTGGAAAGAAGCCAGGCCCCCGCTTTAGCAGTAGCAGCTTTAGCAGTAGCAGGGGCCGAACTACCTTTCCTTAAATTTCACTTCATGTGAATCTGCATACTGAATCATAGTTTTGATCTTTCACAGTATCAGGTACAAGCACAACTAATGATTTAACAAAAAAATAACCTATAAAAAAAAAGGGAAAAAATGTTTTTCACCTATAGATACATTAAGTTTTTTACACCGCTCAATAAAAAACTAAATTTTTTACCTCAAAAAGTGCAAAAATTATGCAAAACTGTTGCTTATTCATCCCATAATGCCTTCACATTTTAATTTTTTTTCATCCCAAAAAGTGCGAAGGGATATGCGAATGTTTTTGCACTTTTAACTTTTGCACAATGTCATTGCGCAATTGTCGCATATTCATTGCACAATGCCTTTTGCACTTTTTGGGGTGAAAACTTAGCTTTTTATTAGACGGTGTGAAAAACTTAACAAGATTTCAAAACCGGGTAAAAATAGCTATTTTCACTTTAAAAAAAAAAAAAGCAATACAGATAAGTGATTCCCTGGTGTAATAATTTAATGCATTACATCTTACTTCCAAAGTTTGGAATTCTAGTTTTACACATGCCAAACAAACTAAAACAAATTATTCGATGAGAAGAAAATAGGTGATTGCTAAGATAATGAAAAAGGGCAGCAGCTACACGAGCAGTAACTAACTCCCAATCATAGTCAATATCGAAACATGGGACAAACAAAATGACTAAAATACCTTCAAAGGAAAACTGAATCATCCTCGGGCGGCTCAATCCACACACTCTCGAACGGGTCTTGCTCACCCCAGTCATAACACTGCTTCCTCGGGTAGTACCTGCCATTATCAAGAGAATACGAGACACAACGCTTCCCATAAAACCGAACCTTGGAGAAGTAAACATTGTTCCTCATGTCACCAAGAAGGTCCATCCTAGCTTGAGACGACAAAAAATTCGCGAAAAGTGTCATTCCCCCCAGTGTCTCCATCTCCACCCATACCTTGTTCGTCTGGTTCAGCTTATAGATTACGGGGTTCACAGCCGAGCACGTGTAAATGACGAAAATGTCCCCACCGTGCTCAGCCATGAACTTCCCTTTCCACCAGTTCTTAACAAAGAAATTCTCGGGGCATTTAGGCGGGGGCACCGAATGCACGGCCCACGTACTCTTCTGCGGGTCGTACACTCCAAGCCAGCCCGTGAGGCTCAGGCAGTAAAAGATCCCATTGCAAAAAACCAACTTGTTCCAAATGCTGCTCACGAAAGGGAGTCGATTCTGATAATTGACAGTGGTCCACTCAGTGGCTCCTGGACGGCACGTGCTCACAGCCACAACTGTTGGGCTCACGTGCTTAACGGTGAAAAGTAAGCAGCTCGGAGATTTTGGGCCCGCAGAGAAGGCCACTATTTGGTAAGTCAACTCAAGGCAGGGCAAGTTGATCGACTCGCGAGTGTACGGGCAGAAAAAGAAGACCGTTTGGTTCCTCGGCTTGTACAATAGGAGCCACCCGTCCTTGGCGTAGCAAATCCTAGAGCCGTGAAGCTCGGGAAGCTCGAGCCAGTAGGTTTTTCGGTGGGAAGGATCGTAGAATTCGTAGAGATCGCCGAATTTTGGGAAGAACATGAGCCATGGAGGCTTGTTGGCCATGCGGACGTTTAGTGCGGTTTTGAGCCATGTTTTGCAGACGGCTGAGGCTCGGATATTGTCTCGGAGACTCAGTTGGGAGAGGATAAGCTCGAGAAGCTCGGTCGGGATCTTGGAATGAGTCTCTTGCTCGTCTGGGTGAATGCTGCTATCTGTTTTCTTGTTGTCTTTGATTGTTTCGGCCAAACTGGAATTCGTGGGATTTCGAAAAGATTCAAACTTTTTTGAAAAATAAAATTCAACAGGCGCAGGACAATACTAAAGCAAACCCAGTTTGGAGAAAATGATTTCTTAAATTTGTTTGCTTCCCACGATATGAAATACACAATCACACGATTATACAACAGAATACTGGTCATTTTACTAGGAACAAAACAAAAATATCAATCCCGATCAGAGAACATTTACAACGAATACAGCAGTTTTTTGAATTTATACGAGGAAAATTAAAGGCTGTGATACTTGGTAAAGACCCATGTGTCTATATCAAAACCCCAACTTATTCATCTTTCAGTGAGAAAATCGAAGAAATCAGTTCCAGAGCCTGAATTTTGCACTCGAATTTAACTCAAAAAGCATACGACAACCAATGGATTTAATAAACAACAGCCATAACCAAAATGCAACTGGACACATCAACCTAACCTGACCTTGAACCCAATTGCACAAAAACAGTCTGGTGATGCATCAGATTCACAAACAGAAACCCTAAATGCACAATTCAATTGGTAAAATGAAGCAATTTTCCAAAATTGACCCAATTAAACCTTCATCCAATCTCCAATACTTCTCACACAGTCAAATCCGATCTCTCACTAACTAATCCAGACTTTTCCGACAAAGCAAACACAAAATTTCCCCCCGGATTAAAGGGCCCGATCAATTGCAAGTGCGTGATTTTGGTTAATTGAGGAGGTCCCATGACACGATTTCTTGATTTTCAGACAAAATAAAAAGGTTTCAATTGAGGTTAGCATATGTACAGACAAAACCCAGAACTCGATCCGACAAGCAAGCACAAAAAATGAAACAGAACCATATCCAAATTAATTAATAAAAAAAAAAAAAAGAAACTCACAATTTCATCTTCTTTCTTCTTCTTCCAGCCATGATGATGGGGCCTAGCCAAGATTGAATTTTTCACAATAAAAAAGGGATCTTTTAGTAAGCGTTTCGTGAAGAAGGGATAGGGGTTATGAAAGAGAGGGTGCACAAAAGGGAAAGAATGATTGCTGTCAGTGTAGTTTTGCTTTCGAGCCATTTGGATGACTCGACTTATAGAGTCGTCCACACTTATTCGACTTATGCTCTGTTCAGATGACTCGATTTATGGAGTCGTCCACACTTATTCGACTTATAGAATCATCTACACTTATTCACCACTAGTGTATTGACAGGTAACCTACAATAAAATATAATTTAGACAGATGTCAACACATTAAGTAGTGGACGATTCTATAAAAACAATCCGATAGTTCTATAGAATTTTTGGGTGTTAGTGTGTGTGAGATTGGCTACCAAAAACCTGTTCCCCCATAACACGTGTGGCCTTAAACGGTGCGTGTCCAGGCAGTTTACGGTGGGGCTTTTGGTCCTTGCAAAAATGGTCGCCAATGGGTGGACGCCACGTGGAGACGGTATCAGTTATCTGGTGGTCGTGAATAAATAAATATTTATTGTATGAAAATTCAGATTTGTTTTTACTGGGCAGAGTAATAATTTATGTAGTGGAAGTCAAAGGTGTGGGCTATCTAAATAATTATTTACTCAAGATTTTTCACCTTTATAGTCGGTGGGCAAGTGATTGATGCTGTGTGATTTTGTGATGGGGAAAAAAGGAGTATTTAATTTGTATATCTGAATTATTATTACTATATTTAAAAAAGTAAATGAGTGGAAATAGAAGTGTTTAATTTAAACTTAAAAAAAATTCTTATTTATATTTAAAATGACACTATTAGTTTGAAAAGTTTGCTTTTTTTTTTTATTTTGTAATATTTTTTTTTCTACCCAGAGGGATGGGATTATGACAAAACTCTAGTCCAGATTTGAGCCCCCAATAAGCTTGTAGCCTAGAGAGAGATCGGACATTGAGAAGCTAATTCGACTAGCCTCGTTGGAGGAGCCGTGCCTCCGGCCCCGACCTAAGGTCGGATAGGAGAAAGCAAGGTGGGGGATCCGTCGTCCCACGTCCCCATCCAAGACCGCAAAGGCAGAACGAGGAGAAGGACGTTGCCGCCGAGCCCAACCCGTGGATGGAGAGGCGGTACAAGATGCGAGGACAAATGGTCTGTCAAGAGTGAAATAAGAGGGAGTAGCTTTTACCATTACTTTTTCTATATTCAAAACTAGTACAACACCCGTGTATTACACGGGTGCTTGCTAATTTTTTCTTAAAATCTAAAATTAATGAGAAAAAGTAGTTTGAAAATTTAAATACCTTTTGTAAGAATGACACTTTTTATTTGTGTGACTTACTTGTGTTATATTATACTAATTTTTTTAACTTACAATATATAACTACATTAAATATAAATATATCAATTGAGAAATAATTTTATTTTTCTCATGAATTTTAATAAATATTATTATTTTTTATTATTATAAAGATAAATATAATTAATTTTATTTCATATATACAATATGGATGTCAAATCGAAGATCATCAAAAGATGATTAATTTGATATATTATATATGTAAAATCGATAATAAATACAAAAGTTATCAACTTTTAAAATACATTTATAATTCAATAGCTTGTTAAAGGAAGCAAATCAAAATTCAGGGATATATTAGTCACTTAGTTCCTCACTATGTAAAATTACAAAGAATTAAATGGTTATATTAGTAAAAGTGATATTAAAATACCTAAGTTAGCTAAATAATATTTATGGAATACCCGAACCTAGATTATTAATTATTAATATATCAATATTATTTATCCAAGCCTAATTACGAAGCATGATTCTTCGCCAAATAAGAATCCGAAGCACCGGAAGCAGCCATGTAGGCTCAGCGCATTCGGGAATCATATATAGGGAGGATGTTAAGCATGAAGTTTTTCAACGTTCCATTAATATATGCATCTTTCAATAAGGGTTTTATTATTTTTATATATAATTGTAGAATTTTTTTTTTAATAAAACTCTTTCCGTTTTCCCTTTTTTTTTACCCATATAGTAATTAATTTTTTTCTTTTATTTTAATCATCAATGCACTATAAATCATCCCTATCTAGAATCATCTTTTATTTTTTTCTTTTGGATATTCTGATTTTTTGACATGATTTCAGCACATTATTATTATTATTATTATTATTATTATTATTATTATTATTATTATTATTATTATTATTATTATTATTATTATTATTACTCAATTAGTTGGTCACAATATGTCAAAATATAAAAATTATATTATTTATTATAATTTACATCGTAAATATAATGATTCATATGTAAGTTGTAAAATTTGCAATTGTATTGCTCACTTTTACTAATTGTTAAAAAGGCATTTGACAGAATAGAGTAGAAAAGTGTGAGTCAAATAATGTTGAAACTTGAATTTTGCTATGTCTTTGTTAACTGAGTTATTTCTTGCACTTCCTCTGCTTCATTCTCATTTAATGTCAATGAAGAAGTGTGGCTATGTTACTCCTACTAGAGGCATAAGAAAATGGGACCAACTGTCCCCATATGTCTTCATCCTTGTTTCTAAAATATTTTTCCACCTGATTAAACTGGAAACCCAAAATGGCAGTCTCAATGGTATTCAACTCTCTAAAAATGGTCCCAAACTATCTCATTTGTTCTTTGCAGATGACACGAAGCTCTTTGCCAAAGTTGAACTCTCATAAGCTCAATCCATACTCTCTGTCCTAGCAACTTACCAAAATATGACAGGCCAGAAAGGAAATCTATCTAAATCGTCTATCTTTTTCAATAGAAACACCTCTCCCTCATTGAAATCCTCCATTTGCAATATCCTCTTGGGAATTAGCCTTGAGAACTCATCTAGATATCTTGACCTTCCTCTAGGAATTGGGAGTAACAAAGTGAAAACTTTCTCCTTTATTTATGCTGCTGTTGAAAAGAAAATTTTGAACTGGAAAAACAAATTTTTCTCTACAGCTGATAGAGAGGTTCTGATCAAGGCACTGCTTAACGCCCTTCTAGTGTACTCTATGTCCTGCTTTCTTATCCCTAAAGTTGTGTGTGCAAATATTGCTAGACTTTTTGCTTCTTTTTAGTGGAACACATGTAATGCTGAGGGCAAAAAACTCCATTGGAAAGATTGGAACCTAATGACTTTGTCAAAAGACAAAAGAAAAAATGGGTTCCATGACATCTAGTTGATGAATAAGGCCTTAATCACCAAACAACTTTGGAGGATCCTCACTCAACCAAACCTGTTAGTCAACGAATGCTTGAAGGCCAAATACTTGCCAAAGGACAAATTCTTCACAGTCAAGCATAAGCAAACTGGTTCTTGGCTCTGGCACAACTGGCTCAAAGTCAAAGATTCTTTCAACATGGGAGTGAGATATGAGCTTCCTGGATTGAAACCTCAGAGCAGGCCCCACTCAAATTCTGACATTTTCAAGGTGAGTGATCTGATAGATGCGACATGAAGACACTGGAAGATGAATATCCTTCTGGACGTTTTCACTGAATAAGAACAAACTGCAATTTTGAAAATCAAAAGCATTAACCCGGGAGAAGATGACATACTAGTGTGGCTCTGTGGCAAAACGGAAAAGTTAGGGAAGATAACAAATTGAGTTTTTTCGATTTTGCAGTTAACAGGAAACAAGAACTTGTGGAGCAGTTGTGCTTATCATAAGAGGAAACGGAAAATAAAAGGTGACATCTTAATGTGATGTAGAAATTAGGAAATATACATATACAAGAATTGAGCTAAAAAACAAAGATCGGGGGCAAGAAAATATCTCCTATTTTTTTTTTTTTTTAAATGTCATTCTAGCCTTTTCAACTATTTGTCAAATAAATGTCATTTTGAATATTTGTACATATTTTTCCATTATTACTATCATTTAGTCGATAAATACATTACGTCTTTTCATATTCACCCTTCACTTTTTCTCAAAACATTCATCTCTATCTTCATTAAATAAGGTTATTATTGACAAAAAAAAATGTGCAACTTCTCCAAACGACATATATTAAAAATAGGAGGTAGTACCATCTTTCAAATCCAAAAACCTAATAATCGCCAATTCAATTTTCAACCAATGTGGAAAATACCAACAGAAGAACACAATATAAACTGATATAGTATCAGTGTATATATTATTCAACAAATTGAAACGGGAATTTGACAAATTCGGCCAGTGTACATAGCGATTCATAAGGGCGTTGATTATTAACCGCACCATAAATTTTAGAACTTTTAGTTTCGACATTTCATTTACTGCAGTTCCTGATTCATGCAAGTGGAATTGTGTTTAATTGCTCAACAAGACCTCAATGACCAGAGGAAATAGCTAAAAAGACCTCAAGACCTCAATTGTATCACAAAATCAGTATAATACACTGTTGACACGCAAAAAACTTGAAAAATTAGAGAAGAAAGAGGAAAAAGGGAAAACAATACAACACCAAAAACCTAAAAAGAAAAAAAAAAACAAAAAAAAGGAAACTCGTCAAAATCTCTCGATGAAACTTTAGTTCTTTTTACCTCTATTACGTTTAGAGGCTACAACAGTCCATCCATCATCTAACTTAGGAACACTTGGCTCAGGATTCATAGAGCCCTTTTGGGTGTGATCAGACTGCAATTGTGGATCATCGTCAACCTCCATCTCTGTTGAATTTTGTTCAACTAGATTATTGTCATCATTATCATCATCTTCATCATCATCATCACTATCATCATGATCATTGCTGCCAGACTAGCATAAGAGAAAACGATACTTTTTCAATCAAGAAAATATATTGGTCTCGGCTAAATATAAAGGAAAAGTATATTCAACGAGCAAAATATATATTTGTAGACAAAAAACAGTTGACCAAGGCCAATGGCTTGCTTTTTCTCCACTGAACTGGAATATATTTTTCATAGTGGCCTTCACTATTAGTGTATCCTTTTG